ACGAGCCCGATGGAGCGAGTGTTTACAAGTGTGGAGTCCCCTGAAGGAGCTCCAGATGGAGACTGAGGTATTGTGTTCACCTCATGGTTAAAGTTGTTGCACGTCCGCCGCTTCCTGCCTCACAATGAGCGAGTTTGAGCCACTTGTACAATTAGGAAGCGAAGAAACTCGACACAGAGAAACATAAACACCTACTGCCAACTAGTGTTCAGAGGTGTATTGCAGAACAACACACACACACACACACACACACACACACACACACACACACACACACACACACACACACACACACACACACACACACACTTTAATCACCTTAAATCTCCATCTTGTTACCACAACGAATTTGAGCGTATGGTCTTTGCCCAAGATCTCTTCATTGCATAAGATGTCCAGCTGCAAACACACACACATGGAGAAACACAAACGTTTACATCTGTTTATCACACACAGTACACATGTGGGCAGCTAACATCAGCTGGTGATAGTGAAGGTGATCAGTTACTGGAGCAGCAGTGATGATGATGATGATGATGATGATGATGATGATGATTATGAGAGTCAGTTTAACCCTACAGCTGACCACAGCCCCCAGCCTAATACTGGACCCTCACTGAACCACCAGCACTGAGGACATCTGGACACACACTACAGCTGCGTGTGTGTGTGTGTGTGTGTGTGTGTGTGTGTGTGTGTGTGTGTGTGTGTGTGTGTGTGTGTGTGTTGTTCTGCAATACACCTCTGAACACTAGTTGGCAGTAGGTGTTTATGTTTCTCTGTGTCGAGTTTCTTCGCTGCTGTTTTGCTTTTCCTGAACACTTCCGGGATGTACAAGTGGCTCAAACTCGCTCATTGTGAGGCAGGAAGCGGCGGACGTGCAACAACTTTAACCATGAGGTGAACACAATACCTCAGTCTCCATCTGGAGCTCCTTCAGGGGACTCCACACTTGTAAACACTCGCTCCATCGGGCTCGTGGCTCTCAGCACCGCCCACACTCATCAGCGCTTCCAAGCCGACCAATCACAGAGCTTGCTCTACGTGTCGTTGCGTTACATTTATTTAAGAAGTGCATGTCAGCGTCGCCGACGGCCACAGCCAGGGCTATGCGTCCACACACAGGAGCACACACGTGCGCTTGATGCAGAAGTATGAATCTGGCTTTAGACTGGTTATCTTTATATTAAAGGAGAAAATTACATTAGTAATGATTATAATAATTTATACAGCGCTTTTCTGGACACTCAAAGCGCTTTACACATGGGGGATCTCCTCATCCAGCAGCAGTGTGCAGCTTCCCCCTGGATGAGGCGACGGCAGCCATACTGCACCAGACCACACACCATCTTATCGGTGGAGAGGAGACAGAGAGATGAAGCCAATTATGATATGGGGAGGGTTAGGAGGCCATGATGGACAGAGGCCAGTAGGCAGATTTGGCCAGGATGCCAGGGTTAAACCCCTACTGTTTTACCAAGGACATCCTGGGAATATTAACGAGCACAGAGAGTCGAGACCCCAGTTTAACATCTCATCTGAAAGCAGTATAGAGTCCCCGTCACTATACTGGGGCATTAGGACCCACACAGACGGCAGGTTGAGCGCCCCCTGCTGGCCTCACTAGCACCACTTCCAGCAGCAACCTAGTGTTCCCATGAGGTCTCCATCCAGACACTGACCGGGCGCAGCACTGCTCAGCTTCAGTGGGCGAACATGTAGAGTAGCAGAGAGCTGCTGCCGGCCAAACATTATATCCCTGCAAACTAATACTTGCACTTACAGTGGAAGTCTGAATTATAAGCCCCCTGAATTATAACCCCCTGAATTATAAGCCCCCTGAATTATAAGCCCTCTGAATTATAAGCCCCCTGAATTATTAGCCCCCTGAATTATAAGCCCCCTGAATTATAAGCCCTCTGAATTATAACCCCCTGAATTATAAGCCCCCTGAATTATAAGCCCTCTGAATTATTAGCCCCCTGAATTATTAGCCCCTGAATTATAACCCCCTGAATTATTAGCCCCTGAATTATTAGCCCCCTGAATTATTAGCTCCTGAATTATAACCCCCTGAATTATTAGCCCCTGAATTATTAGCCCCCTGAATTATTAGCCTCCTGAATTATAACCCCCTGAATTATAACCCCCTGAATTATTAGCCCCCTGAATTATAACCCCCTGAATTATTAGCCCCCTGAATTATTAGCCCCCTGAATTATAAGCCCCCTGAATTATAAGCCCCCTGAATTATAACCCCCTGAATTATAACCCCCTGAATTATTAGCCCCCTGAATTATAAGCCCCCTGAATTATAAGCCCCCTGAATTATAACCCCCTGAATTATTAGCCCCTGAATTATTAGCCCCCTGAATTATAAATTATAACCCCCTGAATTATTAGCCCCCTGAATTATTAGCCCCTGAATTATAACCCCTTGAATTATAACCCCCTGAATTATAACCCCCTGAATTATTAGCCCCCTGAATTATTAGCCCCCTGAATTATTAGCCCCCTGAATTATAACCCCCTGAATTATTAGCCCCCTGAATTATTAGACCCTGAATTATAACCCCCTGAATTATAACTCCTTGAATTATAACCCCCTGAATTATTAGCCCTCTGAATTATAAGCCCCTGTTTTGTTCTTTTCCTCAATTTGTGTGTAACAGAGCAGATTTCTCCAACACATCTCTGCTCATAACAGTGTTCATAACTCATCTCTAATAGCTGATGTGTTTCCTCTTCTCCATGATGACAGCACATAATATTAGACTAGATATTCTTCAAGACACTAGTAAGACACAGTGGCATGTAAAGGCTTCACTAGGGTAATTAGGGTAAAGTTAGGGTAATTAGGCAAGTTATTGTATAACAGTGGTTTGTTCTGGAGAACTGTACTGCTGCTTCTGTGCTCACATCAGTGTGTGTGTGTGTGTGTGTGTGTGTGTGTGTGTGTTCCAGAAATCGCCGCTCCTCCTCCATTACAGACCGAAGATGGATCTGCTGTAGTGTCGGTGCGGGGCCGAGGAGCCGATCTGAACTGACAGAATCATATATTTATACTTTTGTAAAGTCCAGAGTGGTGGAGCCGCCGCCGCCGCCGCGCTGTTTACAGGACCCCCACACACACACACCGTTTCTACCATTGGACAGCGCCTGACGAAGAAACTGCTCTCACTCAGGTCCAGTGCAACACTTGTGGAGCCTTACATTCACTGATCTCAGAGCAGTCCGGTGTCCACAGGCAGATCTGTGTGCAGTGTTTCTGTTCTGTTGACTGATGTTGATGTATATACAGTGGTGCTGAGCCCAGCGTCATCACCACACACACACACACACACACACACACAGACCCAGCTGCCCTGCCAATATTTCAGCCCAACTCAAAGAGAGATATGATGTGGACAGTGCAGCTCAGTGTTTGGGTCATGATGATGATGTCAGTGTATGATGGATGATGATCATATGAGGAGGTGATCTGCCAGTGGGAGGAATCTTCTCATGTCAGGATCATTCCTCCAGCGCTGGCGGGTCGTCCTGCTGTTTTCAGGACAGACTGGATTTCTGGACACAAGACCACATTGTATAGAGTATACAGAGTTCTGACTGATTTAAACTGGTTCTTATATCTGGACTCAGCTGTAGTGCAGTGTGTGAGCGTCGTCTGACATCATCCTCATCACAGCCCACACACACTCGCATGAGCCGATCAAACAGATGAACAGAGTCATGACTGACCTCAGACCTGCAGCTCTGAGTAATCTGATCAATAAAGATGATATGATATAATCTAATCTATTATAGGACATCACGTGTAGTTTACTGCAGACGTGTGCTGGACATGAGCTGTGATTAAGTGATGTCAGGATGCTCACGTGTACATTACTGATCAGCATATCAGTCATAATCACAGTGTGTTTAGCAGAGCTGCAGCGCATATGACCCCACAGACTGAGGGATGCACACTGCTCTGTGTGTGTCTGTGTGTGTGTGTGTGTGTGTGTGTGTGTGTGTGTGTGTGTGTGTGTGCTCATGTGTACAAAAGGGGTCTCACTGCTCTAAACACTGCAGAGACTATTCAAAGCAAAACAGAAAAAACAGAACCTGTGTGTGTATGCATGTGTGTTTGTGTGTGTGTGTGTGTGTGTGTGTATGTGTGTGTGTGTGTGTGTGTGTGTGTGTGTGTGCGTGTGTGTGTGTGTGTGTGTGTT